ATGACTCCAAGACTGTTTTCTCATCCAGGTGAAACTTGATGTGATTTGCAACACGACAAAGTCAAGTCAAGTCGGCTTTATTGTCACTTCAACCATATACAGTTTAACAGTACACAGTGAGGCGAAACAACGTTCCTCAAGGAACCAAGGAACCAAGGTGCTACATGCAACATAAATTTACAACATAACTTAACAGAAAATTAAAGTTAAACTAAGCTTTCATCTCCACAGGATGGACTCGTCTCTGGCACCACAGCTGCAGGACGACAGCATCTCTCCATGCTCTGCAGCCATCAGGAAACACTGGTCGTTATTTGTGAAGCATCATCTACACCTCCTTTAATGTTTATGGTCACCAGGGCATAAAATATGCACGCATAGAATCAGCAGTCAAATCTGACATGACGTGTTTTAAATGTTTTCTGACTTAGACCCAAAATAAGATTTAACATTATTTTAAAAATATATTAAACAGACAGTAAGAAGCAGTGGGCAGCCATTGGCGCCCAGGGAGCAGTGTGTAGGGACAGTACCTTGCTCAGGGTACCTCAGGGTAGCCGTTCAGTGGATTCGAACCCCCGACCTTCCGATCATGGGGCCTTTCCCACACTTACTACTTCAGAGACAAAATAAAAGGCCTCACATGAAAACCACCACACACATCCTTCAGCCTTCTAGATGAAGTCAGATGTGTGTAGTCAGAACATTCACAAAAACGGTTAATATAAAACAAAGAAAACAAGGAACACTGCAAATTTTAATAATGACGTAATCACAACACTTTATAGCTTATGTATGGATACATGTGTGTTGTTGAAAATCTCCCAATTCTTTGAATCTTTGGGCTGAAGGAAGGACAATACTCGGTGTATAAATGCTCAATCAACAATCATTTATTTCCATACAATTCAACACTTAAGAGCATTAGAACGTCCGGACGGGAGAGATGCCTGTCAGAGGGTCACAGCATGTCTCAAAATGGTGATGGATTTCACAGCCTCTTATAGCTCCTAGCGGCCCCCACCTAGTCGTAAAAGCCTAAACATTCACATTCTTTCTTTCTTACGGCGCCTAAGTTATGACCTCGGCTCCTTGTTTCTCTGCGCTCTGTAAGGTGGGGGTATGGAATGTGGTCTATCTCCCCTGCCCTAGACACAGAGTCTCCTTTCTTTTTATGATTCAGCAGTAAAGCATGTCAAGAAACAGTGTAAGACATTCACAGCAGATCAAGGATACAGTGATGCACACTTATCTAATGAACTACAAAAATGATTATGTTCTTTTAACCCAAAAGTATAATGAGGACTAAACTACATACACAGCACACCATCTAAACTAAAGGATAATATATGTCCTACAGCTGTTATCATA